TAAAAATGTTTTTCAAAATTAACTTATTTAACATGAGTTAATTCAATCGTAATATAACTTGAACTATTTTTATGTTTATTCAATTTACCATTCAACTTAACTGTTTAATTTTATATACCATTAATTTAGTTAAAAAAATGTAATGACAGCATTTCACATAGGTTTAATCTTTCACCAAAAAAATTAAAAAATATTTAATATAACAGTATATAACGTTTCTTTATCTAATAAATTAGTGATATTGTTGTTAAAATGTTAAATATTATTTTTGTATATCTTATTTCTTCTTATTCATTATTTACGAAAAAAATGTGTTTAAAGCCAGAATGAACTCTTATAATCATTCTAGGAGGAATTCAAGTTCGATGGGATATTTGTAAAAAAGATGTGACTTCTTTTTTTATTAGCTTCTATTTATCAACTTCTTTCTTAAATGAACAATTATTGCTAAAGATAAAAGTATACATAGACAAGGAATTATTATTTTATGCAATACATTAGTGTGCCTATATATATTAATTGCAATTATATAATACATAACAATGATTTACAAATAATATAAATGTTACAACTATCTATAAACAGTGTAATATATAATATGATTCAAATAGATGTAGTTTTTTCATTTATCTGTAATTTATCACCATAAATAATAATTACACTTAGAGTATATAATCACTGAAGTAATATCTCTTTTCTTTTTCCATAAAATTAAAATATTTTAAAATATCTTGTGAATGTTATATCCTTGATATGTAGTGCTAACTTTTCGTTTCTTTGACTTTACAAAAACGTAAAACATACAAATGTTCTCCTCTTACTTTCCTTTCATGAACAATTTCACCAGACATATTTAACTTTTTGAAAGTGCTGAATATATATTCAGGATCATTTTCTTTTATAACAACTAAATAAAACAATCCTGCATCTGATAAGATTTTGGGAATAATAGCAAATACCTGTTCCATAACTTGTCTACCATTTTTACCACCTGCCCATGTTTTGAATACAAGTCTGTCATCTATTACTTCGTTATATTCTGTAACTACATATGGAGGATTAAATAAAATAATGTCAAATGTATATTTAATTCGTATACAATCTAATAAATTCATTTGAAGGACATCTATATCGACTGAATTAATCAGACTAGTTCTTCTCGTGGCTCTACATGCATCAGGATTTATATCAATCGCAATAAATTGAACATTATGACGTTTTAATGCCATTGCTAAAGCTGTGATAACTATGCCAGAGCCACTACCTATCTCTAAACAAATTCTTGGCTTCATCGCATGTAGACTCTCTAAATCTGCCTCCAAAGCGTCCATCAAAAGATACGAATCCTCAGAAGGCTCATAAACTGTATTGAGCTCCTCATCAGATAGTTTAACTATTGGGGTCTCCATAATTTATAAGAAAAAATGTAATAAAATCTTATAAAATTTATGAATAATTATTTAGTAACAATTTGGTCATATGTTATCGATCATAGGTTTAATTAATAATATTGGAAATTATTGTTGCTTATCAGTCTCTGCTGTAGCTGGTTCTTCTTTATCAGTTTCAATGCTTGTGTTGTTATATGCAGAACTATTATCTAGTAGTGTTTTTCGTTTGGCAGTACTCTTCTCAACAGCTTGATGCACTTTATTCAAGCACTCTTGGGTACTTTGCAGAATGTTGCTAACAATAGTAATCTTATGCTTAGCGTTAACTAATTTTTTTACATAAGAATCTGTGTCTAGTGGATACTGCAATGCTTCGTTGATTTTTTGAAGTTCCTCTGTTAGGGATTCAATCCGTTGCTTCAGCTCAATTTGGCATATTCTATAAAAAATAATATTCATATGTAAACCAAATAAACTCTTAATTTTTGTATGCAACAGAATATATAAGTGAATCTATGAATGAATGAGATAAAAATAAATGTTATTTGATATAATGACTATTTTCCTTTTAAGAAAACACAGTTGACATAATCATTATCTTGTTTGGCATTCAATAACGGTGGCAAAGATGAAATGACACTTATATCGACTCTCTCTGTGTTTAAAAGGAAAGTAAATTTTATCCTACAAGAATATTGTAGAAACAACAAGCGCACAAAGTGCGACTGCAACATCGAAGAGAAGTTTATGGGCATACGCCCTGCAACGAATCGCAATGAGAAAATTGTGGATACCTTGTAGCGCGAATTCTATCATCCAGTTGGTCTACTGTAGGTTTCAGGAGGCTCATGAGACCCTCTGTTAATGCATCTCGCGTGGGATTTTCGCAAAAGTCATCTATCTTGTCGTCGATCGATGTATTGTCACTCGCTGTATCCACATCCATGTTGCAACCGTAATACGACGTTTATTATAAGATGTGAGGTTAGGTACGGAAGGTTAGAAATGGTGAAGACGCACCCATGATACTCGAACGATTAGTGGCCTAGTTTTCATCGAAAATTTAAACCGGATCAGAATGTAAGAACCAATCAACTGCAGTCGAGCATTCTGTCGGTCGACTGTAACAGGAGAATACTCGACTGTAATTGGTTGATTCTTACATTCTGATTTGGTTTAAATCCTCGGAAACTAGGCCAGTGATTGACTCACTCTCGTTTCGAGATATATATATATATATCGATGATAATTTGATTTTCAAAATTTTAAAAGGCAAAATTATGATTTTTAATAATAGAAGGGGACTGAAGCAAGTAATTTTATATAAAAAAATTTTATATAAAAAATGTTTTACAAAAAAATTTTATAATAAAATTATTTCTATCCGTCCATGTCAATAATAAAATTTCCAAAAAATAATTATTTTTAAACATTTTCGCAGAGATTTTTTTAAATAATTATATTTCAAAAATATTATTGATGTTAATGAATAAAGATAGAGATATTTTTATTATAAAATTTTTATATAAAACTTTTATATTTTAAATTTCTGAAATATGATGAAAGAAGTGAAAATCATTTTACACATGCTTTCGTTCATTTTTGCGTCGCAACTGGTATTATCTAAATTCATCTGTTTTTTTATGTGTATACTTTCATTAAAGAAGTTTCATTAAAATTAAAATTTGACATTTCATGAGGTTTTCTTGTAAGTATATATAATATTTTAGTGTCTATTTGCTTGTTATACTTTATTGCATTCTAATAGCCGATAAATTAATATAAACTTTAAGGGAAATTTAGAGAATCAAGAAAAATCGATTTTTTAAATTTTAATTGGAAGAATATACTCTCAAAGCAATTTGAACAATTGATATTTATAGGTACGCCAGACCCGCATAAAATCAGCGCGGTCTACATATTTTCTCTCTTTAAAAAAAAGAGTGGTAGAATTTTTAATTTTTAAAAGTGAAATTTCACTCTTTAGATTAAAATTCCACTCTGAAGAATTTAGGGAGATTACATTAGGCACATAGAATATAGATGAGAAGAATAATCTGCATCAAAACGAGGCGCAATTTGCCTAGCGTAAACAATGTTACACGCTTTGATTAGTTTTCATTATATTGAGTTGTCCGGAAAGTTCGTGCCGACTAACCTATATAATTTAATAAATGTATACTAAAATTTAAATTTTCTGCGTTTCAATTTTCCTTCAACATCGGCACAAACTTTCCGGATAACCCAATAATTTGTGTAATTTTCATAATAATCATCAGATGACTGCTATCTCAAATAGAACAAGTCACGATCACGTCAAAATAACATTAAAATGAATAGGAAATGATTGAAAAATAACTTTTAATGATCACTTTGAAGTCGTTTTGATATGACTTATTGTTCTGCATAGGATTGCTTCTACTTTTTCTATCCATTCTCCTTTTTTCTTCCTTCTCCCTCTCTCTCTCTCTCTCTCTCTCTCTCTCTCTCTCTCTCTCTCTCTCTCTCCCTCCCTCTTTTGATCGATAAACGTATTCGTCATCGTTTCTTACTGTAGAGGATGTGAGAGAGATAAAAAGATTTCAGTTATACATAGAAAGAGCGTAGTCATACTTCTCATCTTAATTTTTCGCTATTATTACATTTTAATATCTATAAAGAAATCACGGTATCCGATTTAATTTTTTACCGATTTTATCGTATGTCATTACGATGCAAGCGATAGCGTTTTTCTTGCTGGTCTGCGGTTTAGCCGCAACCGTGACATCCGACATTTCGCAAGATCTCTCGTTGAACGAGCTTGTGAAAATGATGCAGCAAAGCAGGAAATGGCCGAAATTTAATTCTGATGTCAACTTTAATACGGTAAGTAAATATTTTTTCTGTATTCCGATTTTATAATCATGCATTTAAAGTTATCTCGGTTATAATCTTGAAGCACTTATTGTTATATTAAGTCTGTTCTTTATTCCTGCATTGTCTGAATTTGTGCACACGGTGAAATTTACATTTAGACTTTTCTTTTTGGCTGAACTTTTGCAGGGAAAAGAAGAGAAAGAAAGATGAACTGATGCAAAAGTTCAGCAGAAAAAAACTTTTGTTTCACTTATTGCATGAGTTTAAGTTATTGAAAGAATAAAGAACTGACCTATTAATTCATTGGGTGCATTCAGAAGCGCGATCGCTCACTGAGCGCTCAGTGAGCTCTGATTGGCATATTCCATTAGATTTCCATCTAAAAATATAGACCAAACAGATACAAGAGCTTACTGAGCAGTACTGCTTTTAGATGCATCTAATGATTGAATAGAATCTTGAGATTATTTGAGATTTAAAATAATAAATTTAAGATTAAGCTATAAATATCTAATTAAAAAGGAATAAGGCTGGTATTCATAATCCGTTTTTATATTTTAAGATTATCTTAAATAATATCTTAAGATGTTAAATATAGTTGTGATTCGAAACTTTATTGAGAGATAGAAAGACAGAGAAAAAGAGCGAAAGAGAGCAAATTTTTTAAGATAACTTTTTAAAGTCCTTATTCAAATTTCTTTAAAATGATATCAAAAAGTCTTTGTTCTGTAAGACAACAAAAAATGTTTAAAATCGAGTCAAGACGTTTTTTCATCTAAAAGACTTATGTCACAATTTTAGACTTTGTGCTGTTTGGGATGTTTTCTAAGAGAGCTTTTTATGGCACCAATTTATAAATGTTACTAATAAACAATATTACACAGCCATTACCATCACTAAGATAAAGACTGCGGAATTTAATTTCTCATAAGTATAAGAACCATATAAGATAGAATAAAGCATAATGAGATCTTTGAGATCGCAATTTGTATCACTATAAATGATAAATAATTTGTTTTTACTTTTTTCAGCTACAAATGATAAAAAAAGCTGGTTATCCAGCAGAGGCTCATATTGTACAGACGGAGGACGGTTACTTTTTAACACTTCATCGTATTCCAGATAACAAGAAGTTACCCGTGTTGTTACAGCATGGTCTTTTGGGCAGTTCCGCTGATTGGGTCATTCCCGGCAAGGATAAAGGACTTGGTACTACCTCAATCAAATTCAACTTTGGAGAAATCGATTATGCTTCTGGCAAAATAACGAAAAATAAACTCTCCAATTCCAAGAGAAAACGTGCAAATTCTAATTTCGATTTTTGAAAATTTTCATTTTTATTTTTGTAATATTATACTTTGTATGCTAATAAGTTTGTTTATTAAAATCAAGTATTTTTCTTCAGTTTACATAAAATTTTATTTTACTCAAAATGAGATTTATAAAAGATTTATTACAGAAATAAGAAATTTATCAGACAATATGGATGGATAAATTGTGTATATATAATACTATAAAACCAAATTATTTTTACCTAAGTAATTATATCTACTATGAACAATGTTTTCTTTTTCTTCTTAGCTTTCATTTTGGCTGATCGGGAATATGACGTTTGGTTGGATAATTTTCGTGGGAATACCGATTCGAGAGCGCACGTTTCTTTATCTCCGTCGGATTCAAGATTTTGGAATTTTAGGTACTAATAAAATAAAACGAAAATAATATTGCGTCAAGTATTATATGTAATACATAACAATTAATATGTAATTAATAGTGAGCGTTGTTAGCGATTCTCTGAATATATTAAAAATTGAAGTTATATTTAAAAAGTACATATATCAAAATGCATTTATTTGTTGTTAGTACGTTTAACATTATTATTAATTATAATTTGCCACCAGGATTTCCACACGACATTCTTTTTGTTTTTACAAATGTGAAAATGATAATGTAAGTAATAATAATACAATAGATTGATCTTCCCAATCTTTAAACTCATAGAATTTACTTTAAAATATCAGCAAATAACAGAAAAGCTGCAATAAGCTTGTTGTTAAAAAATATATGAGTAATATTATGAAATATTTATGTAAGAAGAACAAGAATCATAGATATTGCTCACATATTAGAAAAGAGATAAGTTTTTTATCAAAATAATAACATAAATGTGTAAATCCGATTGAAAATACCTGGTTAATCGCGTGAAAATAAACAGAAGAATAAATATTTATTTGCAAGCCAATATTGGCACATTCAGAAGAATTAAAAGTCTTTTATCCAAAATTCTGACCAAAAATCTCATTGGAAGCACGTCTTGATAATAAACTATAATTATAATAATGGTAATTGGATGTCATGCTAATTGCAAATAAATGCATGTAATTTTAAAATATAAATTTTTTAACATACTCGGTTTCTTTCAGAAAACTGTTGACGCTCTTATGACACTAACTTATAATAAAAGCAAACGAAAGTTCATGAATTAATTTTATATTATTATGGAACAATATATTTTTTGTTATATTTTGTGATATATCGATTAAAATTTTTGTCAGCTTTCACGAACTGGGCGTCTATGATTTACCTGCGATGATCTCGTACATCACGAATACGACGTCACAAAAATTGATCACGTATATTGGTCATTCGATGGGTACAACTGCTTCTTATGTGATGGCAGCAGAACGTCCAGATATTGCTCGAATGGTACAAGCAATAATTAGTCTCGCACCTGTAGCTTTTGTAGAATATATAAACAGTCCAATACGACATTTTGCTCCTTTCGTCAACAAATTAGAGGTAAATACTATTAAAAAATAATTATTAATTATTGTCTAGTGATTTAAGAATTTAAAACATGCAATAGTTAAGAAACTACATTAATTAGTATTAAGTCATTTTGTCTCATAATTTTACGATACAAAATATCTCTTTATATTTTACTATTATTTTTGAAAGATTGTTTTATTTTTTGAATGTGTTTTTTCTTAATAAAAAAATGTCGAGATCAGCACGAATAATTTATGACAAGTGAATAAGATTTTAGGGAGAAAAGATAACACTACTATGTTTTTTAAACTAATTCCGAATAGAATTTACTTTAAAAATTTAATATGTATTTTAAAAATATATTGTATTAAATATCAGAAAGCTGTAATAAGATTTAAAAAAATAATCGTTAAAAAATAATATATGAGCAATATTAATTGAAATATTTATGAAAGAAGAATAAGAATAGATATTGCTCGCGATATACCAGAAAAGAGAAAAGTTTTCTATCAAAATAATAACATAGTATCAAGAAGTATAAGAAGTCAATGCAGTAATTCGAGCGCAATGTCGTTTTTTATTTTCAAAAGTACTTTGTGACTATCGAAAATTATACAGATCTTAAATGAAAAAAATCGACTAAATAGTTCGACTTTTGAAAATAAAAATATCGTTTTTTAATATGTATTGTATATAATTATGCATTATTGTATATAATTATGGACATCGATAGTGAAAGTGTTTCTGCAGAATAACAGAAACAAAATAATTGCTATCTAGTTATGCAATTGCATGAGCAGTTTGAAGAGAGAAGATCTCATCTAATAAAAGATACATCGATTTCATATCTACATATGAATTTTTATTAATCATCAATTTTTATCAATCATCAATTGTTAAGGAGAGCGTTGAGCTCGAATCAGAATCGAAACGTACGGTATACACAAAAATCGAATTTAACACTTATTTATACTAGAAGAATAAATTGTATTTTACTTGAATTACTGCGCTGATTTCGTATATTATAGCTTTTGATTGCACATTTATATTATCATTTTGTTAGAAATACTGGAGTCCTTCGTTATCATTTTTATTTTTATTCTTTTATTTGTATTTATATTGAAGTTTTCTAAATATAAACAAATGTAAGAAAAGATTTCGTAAGAATTTCTTTCAATTTTAGGGAGAGAAACTAAAAATGGGAAAATTATCTTTTCCTTGCTCTCACTTATTGTTTTATATATATATATATATATATATATATGTCCATATAGTTATTATATTATATAGCTATATTATCCAATTTTTTATTATAGTTTAAGCAAAATGTTGTTTACAAATTAGTATTAAGATCAAAGATCATTTGTATAAATTTAATTTATTAAAGAGTGCTTCAAATCTGTATCTATTTATTTTCAAACTGGATCAGAGAACACTCAAATTATAAATAAATATATCGCAATTAAGGGATCCAGGGATTACAGATAATAGCGCATTTCTTCGGCGAGGACGAGTTTCTGCCGCATAAGAGTGTGCTGCAATTTCTGGCAAAACACGGTTGCGAGGTAAATTATGTTGAGGAGGTTTGTACCAACATAATATTCTTGATCTGTGGATTCGATGAAGAACAATTCAATTACGTAAGTATTCTATGAACGAACGTGATCAAAATCATCAAAGTGCAACTACGAGCAACGTTTCGAATGTCATTATGTTTGACACATGTAGTCATTTTTCAGATTAGATATTGTTTTTTAGACTTTGCTCCCAATGATTCTAAGTCACGACCCAGCCGGTGCTTCGACCAAAACACTGATACACTTTGGCCAGGAAATCGAATCGGGCAAGTTTCGTCAATTCGATTACGGACGCGAGAAAAATCTATTGATCTACAATGCAACTGAACCGCCGGACTACAATCTAACAAACATCAAAGTGCCAATCGGACTATTTTACGCCGACAATGATTGGTTAGCTGATAGTTTGGTAAGTAGAGGAAAAATGTATTTAGACGGAAGAGATACGTAGGACGTACATACATATAAATATTATATATATTAAAAATTGATTTGCATTAGCTTGTGAATCAAGCTTTAAATAATATATAACCACACTAAACATATAGTGTCAAATTTAATTTAATATCGCTACTGCTTCTACTAAATATATTGTCATTTTTTACTAAAATTTGACATTATATAATGTCAAATTTTAATCATTTTAATAACCATTGTTTTAGTTAAAATAATGGTATGATTGAGTAGAAGCAGCGACTCATGTTAAGTTAAATTTGACATTATAGATTTAACAGTGCAGAATAATTAAATGTAAGATAACGTATGATAACTTGTGATTTCTTTTTAAGGACGTGAAAAAGCTATACAACTCATTATTATCCAACATATTTGACCTGTATAGAGTACCGTTGCCTAAATTCAATCATCTGGATTTCATCTGGGGCAAAGATGCACCCAAGTTTGTGTATAAAAAACTGCTTAATGATTTACGACTGTTTAAGGTCATAAAGAAGACAATACATCATGACTGATAATATATAGATAAGAGATAATGATCACGATTGATAATAAAAATGAGAAATGCTAAAATCTTGTTGATGCAACTGTGATCGTAAATTAAAAGTAATTTAATTCATAGTGCTTTGTAATAGTTTATACAAAATTTATAGAATATATGCATATAAAGAATTAATTTGTCGTTTTGATCGTTATTTTGATGTGAATATCAAAGAATTTGATGGAATTTGTAATATAAGTAAATGTACAATTTAATCATTTATACAATTTGATGCTATTCATTTACATAAATATTAGTGATATTTTTGTTAAACAAAATTAATAGCTTCAAAATGATAAACATAAATTATTGTAAAATGAATTTTTTGCTATTAATAAAATAGTGTTTTATATTTCCAAAAATTTTATTCTTCCTTTGGTAAGAAATTTAATTATCGGATATATTTTTTTTACGCTTGTGAACTTTTTCTTCGTTTATGTCCGTCACTTCTGCCAAACTTTGAGCTAGCAGACTTACTATTTTTTAAAAGAAAAATACATATTCGAGAGTATTAAATTATCATGATGTGGTTTGTGCCTTGTTATTTGGTACTGATAATAATAAGATTCACGCGAAAAAATCGTGATTATTTTTTAGCTAATTTTTCAAATATTATTTGACATTTGATTGTATTTAGGATGAAAATTAAAATGGTGTAATCAGCAGATCAAGTATTAGAACATTTACAAATTTGAAAAAGTAGTTACGTAAGCCTTTTAAACTGAATAAGCATAAAAACTGAAAATTTATGTATATATTATATATATATATTACGAATAATTTATATAATAAAATGTAAAAATATAATGGTCACACAGTTTAGCGTTTTGTATATTGTAATTATTTAGTTATTATTAATATTTTGCATCAATATATAGACAACTATAAACAAATGAATCTGAAACTTATATATAGCACATAATATTCATGTTAGATTACATGTAATCTAGTAAAATTACACTCCAGTACTCACGATTTCTAGTTCGTAAAAGTTCTAACACAAAAAAAGTTCTAACACAAAAAATGTTATATGTGGCAAAATTAAAAGTTTATGAATCATAATTATAGTTATTACTTGTAACATTATTCACTCAAATAAGTGCAGAACAGAAAGTCATAAAACTGAATGAGTAAACATTCATGAGCATTTAATAAAAGAACTTTGATCAAAATACAATATGATTGAAAAGTTACAGTTTTTAATGATTCAAAATCATAATTTTTCTGTCATATTGTATTTTGTCAATTTTATATTGTATTACAAATCTTAAAATAATTAACAAATTTTCCTTTTACAATAAAATTTCTTTCATTGTTAAAAATAATAATTTTATTATATAAGATATTATATAATATAAGATCGAAACAATAATATATATATATTAAATGTCTCATAATAATAGCATCTTTTACAATGAATTTAGTAACAGAAATGAATTGAAGTGTTATTTTTTATAAAACTTTAAATGTAAAATATTTGTTTTAAAATTTCATCAGCAAGTACTTTTTTCATCTCGCTGAGATAAAATTACGACAGACACATTCAGAGTAATGGCACGCTTTTTTGCAGAGTCCATCTAGAGATCTAAGAGAATAATACTTATATAAAGCTGAAATGAAGATGTTTCCTATATTCATTCTTGCCTTTCTCAAACGTACTACAACGCAAACTTTTAGCCATCAAGATTGACTTCAGCAATCAATTATTTGTATGCTGTGCCAATAATTTTCCATAGGATTATTTTATTTACACGTGAGTTTCAAAGTAATATTTATTAAACATATATACATATACATTTTATATTATTTGTATATATTCGATAAACAAGCTGACATTATTTGTCATCTTTTTAACATCAAGATGAATATACACATATACATACATATATACACACACACACACACACACACACCCATATATAAATATATATATATAAATTAGAAAAGTAATATATAACTTTATGAACATATATTCTACATTTTAAATAAAATATTAAAAATTTCTCTTTTCTATATTGTACGACATAGATATACACTTTACTTTTATTTTATTCTTAGAATACATAATGTGTGTGTGTGTGTGTGTATATGTGTGTGTGTGTGTGTGTGTGTGTGTGTGTGTGTGTGTGTGTGTTTTATTATATTGAAACAAATGTATGAGAGAAGAAAAATGCATGGATTTATCGAACATGGATTTAGCGAACAATATATAAATCTCAGATTTCACAATTATGCATATGTGTATACACGTCTTCAACATAAATACGTAAAAGTAAGCGTATATACTCACTATATATCTACACATTCCTTTAGTTCAGCGCGGTGCGACTTTCACTTTTCATATTGCTGAAACTTCATATTCCACTGTTAATTTTTCAATCTGTTACCATAATATAATCCGATGAAACTAATGAATACAGGCAACTAAAGATAATACGATGATTCGGTTTCGCGGATTATAATGACATGAACTAAACAAAGATGTACAGTGCTTTCCCACGCTTGTCGCAAGTACATCTGATTAATGAAGAGAATTGTAAGATTTCAACTTTGTTTAGAAGTAATTTTAAAAATATAATAATGCTTATTTAGATATTTATTTAGATGTCTATTTAGATATTTAACATCGGAAAGTTATTAAATGAAAAATAACTAACAAAACACGATAATTCTACATATTTTGTCAATCTTACATATTGCCCATTTTATATGTTCTTTTCATAATCATTATGCTTCTTCATAAATTTTCCGTCATAACTACATAAATTTGTTTCGCTTGAGACCTTAGCGCGAATAAGTGCAAATAAGCATGCGAAAAATATTTAATGGAAAATTTACAATGATTTCGAATTTTAATATTTATGAAGAATATTTATGATTATGTATGAAAATATGACTTACCTATGTAAAAGAAACATCTAAATGATTAGAAATATGAGATTATGTGCTAGTGAATGTGCTATATCTATAAATTAATAATAAAAAATCCTAATTTGATCTGATGTTATCAAACATTTCAGATAATAAAGTACAATTATGCAGCATATATAATTCGTTTAAGGAAATATTGTATTAATGGATATCTATCTGTCAAAATAGAAATGAATAGTAACAGAAACAATCCCGACATAGATTCAAAGAAAATTTTTAATAATAGCCTAAGATTAAAGAATAAATGCCGTTACTAACACTACATTTTTCACTTAAGATCTGTCGAAATAATTGTGTGCGGTTTTTTTTCTTTTTCTCTACTATTTTTTTCTTTACTAAAACCTTGGTTATTCCGCCAATTACAGTCAAATTACAAAACCACTATGTATTTTCTAACAATGATGCTTTCAAAATTTATAATGGTCGAGGTAGACACCTTTTGTGTATTTTACATGTTTCATAATTTTCGTGTATATTAATCTAAAATACTCAACCTATAGATAAATTACAATACTCACACACTATCATTTCACTAAAAGTCATCTCGTTTGTATAGTAACAAATGTCGAAAATTGCAATTTTTCAGTTATTTACTTTTGATGAAAAAATCAATCTACCGCAGACTCATCATTCTTTGATAACTTCCTATTTTCAGTTGTCGATGACACTTTACTTTTATAAATTCGATTTTGCGCGAGGCGATCATTCTGTGGAATAAACTTCGTTCGAAATCGCACGAAACTATTGACTACTACACTGTCTGTCTGTGTGTGTGTGTGTGTGTGTGTGTGTGTGTGTGTGTATGTTTGAGAGAGAGAGAGAGAGAGAGAGAGAGAGAGAGAGAGAGAGAGAGAGAGAGAGAGAGAGAGAGGATGAAGAAATAAGAGTTCAATCATTAAATAAATTAAATTTGACATTTTAAGGATGATATTCACCGCAGTGATTGTTATTGCTCTTTCAAGTGCAATAATATGCAATCATGATTTCGGCGATGGCACAGTCTTCACGAGAAACACAAATACAAATTCTGGTAGGAATAAAGAATTTTTCTTATACACAATCAGGAAAAAAGAGAGATAATATAATTGTTATAATATTATTATAAAATATAAATTTGATCATAAATTTGAAGTTTACTAATAATATCACATTTAAAAGTTTAATAAACTATTGCATCTCAGATGTATATTGCAAGAAAAATTTTCAGAGAAAAAGCTGCTATTATGTACAACCACTGTCGCCGCATCAATTTAAGCATAAAATTATTATTACTAATTGGCCGTAAATAATCAATTTTATCGTGGAAGATGTAATTACATAGTTACAAGTTGCTTCACTGTCTAACAGTAACTTTGATTTGCGCTTGTTTTGTAGATAAATCATTTTTTATCATAAAGCATTATTATTATATCAATATATTTTCAATTAGTTTTTGAGATTATATTTTCTTTTTTTTTTATGTTTTAAATCTGTTTTTAATTAATATTTAGAAAAATTAATAAATAGATATAAAAATGATCAATGTTTATAATCTCGATAACATTATTTTTTAATAGATTCAATGAAAATTATTATAAATATATTTTTGACAATTTTTGATTATGAAATCATTTTCCAATTTTGTTTTATCATTAGTAAGTCCAAAAAATGTAAAAAAAATTCTAATTTATTTAATATTCTTAACTTGTATATTATTAAATGGTAAATAAAACGGCAATACTAATAATATTTGAATAGAAATATCTTACTATTTAAATTATTGGAAATTACTTTGTAAAGTATAGATCATGAATTTAAATGCATGATATAAAATTTACAAAGTAATTTATAAATAATAAATATAAAAATAGTATCAATAAAACATATTGATACTGCGTATTTGCAATTTTTATTGATACTTTCTTTTTATTTAGAAACATTAAGATGGATTTTTGGATAAGAAAAATATTCGTATTTTTACAGTTCATCCCCAATCGAATTTAAATACATACTGGCCGATCTTTAATATGCAACAATCGCTCCAAAAATCTCAAACCTTCCAGACAAGAATAAACTCTCGACAGAATAACATAACAAACCATCACGTGCAGCGACTGTTTCTTACTCCGCCGAAGATCAATTACTTAGCTTGCAAGAAACTTTTCTCTAAATCATATTCTATCCCAAGATCAAATAGCCAACAAGATTCCATGCGTATGTCGCAAAGTTTTGTAGCCTTCGCATCACATAATCCTAAGTTAAATCAGCACTCAACAACTTTTTCACCTCTAAATATCCCAAAATCGTCGCTCACTCATTTATCATCACAATCTCTGCCTTTTTCATCGACTAGTGCAAGACCGATCCATTCCACATCCAGGATTGGCAAGCAATTGGCTGGACATACAGGTGGAAACGAAGGCATTTCTTTTTCATATTCTCCACGTATTTTTTCTACAAATATAATACAAACTATGAATGATATAACGAGTGGTATAACAGAAAGTAGTACGACAGAAATTGTTCCTCCTGATTTTAAAACTGAAAGTTTAATTGGTACTAGTGAGCTCAGTACGCAAGGTACGTTGTCTATACATTTATCTTTTGCTACATACAATCTAATATAAACACAGAGAACATAAAAATTAATTTACAATTTTAACATCCAAAAGTCACTCAAGCTGTTGAGTCTCATCATCCTCCGCATATCCATAGTCTTGATGTGGAATGTAGTAAGACAATGATGACGATCCATATTGAATTCAATCGCGCTTTCAACGGCATTATTTATTCTAAAGTAAGCGTGAAATAAAACAATCTTTTACTATAAATTATAGACAATATATGTATATATATATATACATATATTGATTTTGTTAAATTTCAGGGATATTATGCGAATTCGGAATGTATATACGTAAAAGAGAATTCCGGCTTAATACAATATTCTTTTACTGTAAATTTAGACTCTTGCGGAACTCAATTCATTAATGATTTCAAAGGTGCGACTGGACAAGCATATTTGGAAACCGTCCTTGTATTACAAGTTGGTGTCGACTTAATTTTTATTAGTTTTACTTTTTATTGTCTTCAAATTTTATATTAGTTATACTTAGCTCATAAAATACAAAAAAAAAACGAATATAATTATTAGATTTAAAAGTAAAAAGTTTTTGTCCCCAAAAACCAGAATGAATCAGGTATACAAGAAGTATGGGATGTAATTCGAAGAATACGATGTCTTTGGGAAGGAAACATTAATAAAGCTTTAATGGTGAATCTCTCAATAGATATGTTGAACCAGGAGATCGTTACTTTTAGTGGCGATACTGCAACAGTCAAATTAGATATTCAAATCGGTAAAGGACCTTTTGCACCTACAGTCGATGGTCTCGTAAAGCTTGGAGAAACTATGACCTTAGTAGTTTCTGTAAAGGATCCTGGTTTCGATCTTCAGGTACCATTGAAATCCATCTTACATATAGAAAATCAAACAATATAATGCTATTTATTCATAAATACACAAGAAATAATTACAAGCTATTGCAAGCAATAATAATTATTCGTCGTCTATTTTAAATTCTAAAATAATAAATTTTATTTAGGCCTGATTGCAAATATAAAATATGAACGAAACAATTACTTTTAAGGTGCGTGACTGTTTGGCGCGAGACGAAGCCTCAACCAATATGTTGCAGCTCACCGACGAAAGAGGCTGCATTCTGAAACCGAAACTGTTTAGTGCCTTTCAAAAGACAAATAATACGGGCAATACGGGCGCTTCTATTATCGCTTATGCGTTCTTTCAAGCCTTCAAATTTCCTGATGTTATGGATTTATTTATCGAATGTAATGTCGAATTATGTAAAATTAATTGCGATCCTTGTCCAGACACAAATCAAGTACAAAAATTAATTTAAAATATGTTACATATAATATTCATTAAATTTATCTGTCTCTTGCGCTGAAACTAGTTCTTAGTACACTCGATTAGATCGTTATGTTTTGCACATTTATAATCGTTGATAAATTTATTGAATCGTTACATTACTAATAAGAAAATCAATGCAATCTATTAACATTATTTTATTGTTATATAATCAATGCTAAATCAATATTTGAACAATATTATAAATTTACTAAATTTTGCATATTACTTACTTTTTTTATGATAATCACGGTGCGAAATAATAATTAGAATTTAATAGATAAACTTAAAAAATTAAGAAACGTTTAATTTTTATGTGGTTAATAAAGTTTTTGTGTCGCCCAGCAGAAGTTTTTAAGTAATCTAGCAAAATAGTAAGAAAATATGTGTTAATATCGTAGACGCATTAATGAGAAAAATATCGAATGAGCACTGTACGAGTTTCTCTCTTTATTCGCAGACATCATCTTACCTCAAGCTATTAGAGCATTAATACAGCTAACAACAGTACAACAACATTTCGACTGACAATGTAGAACTTTCTCTATCTCATTAGTAAAAAGAATCATAAATCTGTCTGCCTTTCAGTTAAATAAAATATGATTCACAATACCGATGCGGTTTCGCGATACACTACTTACTACTTCCTATTAAAGTTTGGAAAAAAATTTGGTTTAAAAATTTGAATATTACAACTTATTGTATGATAATTCACAGATTCAATTTACTAGCGTTTTAGAACATTATTCTCATCATCTAGTTTATCCTCTAAATATTTCAATACCAACAATGGGGTCGGTTTCAGACTTGAGGTCGATTGAAATCTCCTTATCAAATTACTGATTACTTTTGCGTAGGTTCAACTTTCTTAGATCGTCGAGACTTAAAAATATTCTACGGTTTCACGTTTCTTGGTTTCACTTGTTTGACCGTCTTCGTCTTATTTTCGTTTATCTTGAGAAATCAGCCATTGCTTCCATGAATTTGACTAAATGCCTGTTGTCAGGCATGTGTTTTTCGCTAAGCGACGTTTTTTTTTCTTTTGTTTTATGTCCTCTTTAAATGAAAAGATAGAACTTCTTTTGGTTCTTGCTGGTCGTCTTCTTTCAGTACTTGTCTTGTTCTTGAATGTTGTAGATTTTGAGGTACTATCTATTGATTTGTTTCACTTATGGCTCCTAAGCTTATGGAGCGTTTTAATTGTCCTTCTACGAAATCGTAAATTCTGTGATCTTTTCTTTAGCTCTTCGGTCGCAAATTTTCGTAAACTTCATATTAAATCGACATGCTTCGGAATCCACTCCATCCTTAATGACAAAATTATCTTCATAAAAGATATCTTGATTTTTGAGCTGTCGATATGTATTTATCGCTGATTATTCGCGTTTTGTTGTGTTTGTTCGTCATCTACCTTTTTATAGGCATTTTTCTTTTTCAAATTCTTATGCATGATTTCTCGCATGATCTCGATACGTTGTTTACACAATAAAATCTCCTATTCGTTTAGATTATTCTCGATTTCTTGTAACAATATCTCCTCATCAGTCTCTAACTGCGCAATATGGCTTAAACTTGTGGATGTTTCCGAGGATGAAGCCGTCACTTGTTACTTTTGCGACTGTTTACGTCCTACTTTTTGCTTATATTGAACACTATTTTTTTAATTAATTAATTGTTCGCAAAGAATTATTTAAACAGAGATATGTTATAATATCAATATTTATAGGACTTTTTTGATATCTCGCCAGAACTACGTAGTAGTCGATCTGCCTTCGTTCGATAACTATTTGCATTATTAATATTATCAATAGTAATTTGTGATAATTTACGGCTAATTTCGCCTATTTTATTTACTATTATGGGATTTATGTTGAATTTATCAAATTGAATTGTGTTTGGATTAAATTGACTTGTAACTTGATTTTTGCTATTATAATTAAGTAACTTATAATTAAGTAATTTATTTACATCTTCAAGAGTTTCATTAATAATTTCAAATTGTTCATTATTGTTTTTACTTTTACCGAGTAACTCCATTACCGAAGAATTCGCAGAAATCACATTAGCCTCTTTTAAAATTAAAGTTCCATTGTTTCAATTTTAATTTTTGCTTTTTAATTTGCTTTTCTTTTTCTTTTGCATGCTGTGGCCCTTCCGATAGATCCATCTCCCAGGTATTTTCAGATTGGATTTTTGAAAAAGATGAGTCATCATTATTTTCATCACTTTCAGAGAGTTCTTTGTGTGTAGCCTCTTCCATTTCATTTTCGATTCTGTGATTCGAAATAAGTATCGAGAATGTATCTTTATTTTCCGTTACATTAACTCTTTACCGTTTCGGACTTATATCTTCATTGCTGTTTGTTATTTGATTTTGTATGTATTCCTCGCTGCTAATGATATCGATATCTTTTTCTGTCAAATTCATAATCATATATATGAATCATACAAAGAATCATATATGAATCATACATGAAGAATAATTAGTATTTTCAAAAACGTATTTTCAAACATTTTTCTTTTTAGATTTAGATTTTTTCCAATAATATACATTTCACTTGGCAAATTAAATAAATTTTATATTTATTTTTAAGCAATTAACATTATATTTAATAATGCATATACTTTTAAATTTTTATGGATTGGTGCAAAAATATGTATGCAGGCATACATATTTTTACCTTTATGTAAGATGTCTTTCTATATATTTTTTATAAAACAAAGTATTTTTGTCTAATGCAATTAATTTCGTCGAAAGGTGGTTCTTTCATACACATAAAATCACGACAAACATATAGTGAAAGTGATGACACGAATCGTGTTTTGCAGATAGCCTATGGATAAGGGAGTACAATGTCTATATAAAGCTGAAACGATGATGTTTATAATTATTTACTCTTACCTTCTTCATAAGAACACAAGTCTTCTAATCGTGACGGAAAATCATCTTTAGCACTTTGTGATAATCACCTCCTACGGAAAGAATTTCATTTACATATAGGTAATTTATTTATATAAAATATTTATTAAATTAAATATTGATATAAAATATGTATATAGGGTGTCTCGTAAAGACCCGAACAGGACTTAAGGAGAGATTTCTGAGATCATTTTGAGATGAAAAGTTTAATATTAAAAAGTTGAGACTATAACTTTTGAATTATAAGCGTTTAAAATTAACGAATCTTATTGTCTAAAGTTGGCGCACTCAAGAGCACAAACAACGCAAAATTAAACTCGAAAACTGACTTACCTTGAGCAATCTGATTGCGCGTAGTAAAATAGAATCTTGATTTTTTTGAGCAATCTGCTATCAGTTTCATATCTTAATTAACAGAAATTAATAGCTCTTTATATAGAGTTATTATTGTTAATATTCAATTTAAATTCATTCAAATGCACTTTAAACATTTTATTAAATTCCGGAGAAAAGGAAATAATAACAATATTATTAGAATTTTAGTATTAGACTTTACGTCTCTAAATGATCTCAAAAATCTCCTTTTAAACGTTGTTCGGATCTTTACGGTGCACTGCATATACATAAAAATGTTATTATTATATGCATATTTATATGCATATAAGAATAAATCAATAATTATTTGAAATATATTTATAAATTTCTGATAGAGATTTATTAAATTACTGATAGAGATTTACATTTGTCTGAACAATTTTTATGTTGTTTGATACACTTTGTTCATTGATGCACAAGCTTTATTTACTATTAGGAAAAAATGTTTTTATTAGTCTCTCAGCTCTACATCTACTACTTCTTTCACATTTCAGTCAGGCAAATCAATGATATTTTAAAACATCTTTGAGTGGGTTAAAGATTATTATCATTCATTCCCAAAAATTACTGATTGCTTTATTCAAGAATGTCTTCAGAAATCGTTTATTTGTCGTTAACCAAAACAAGTAGTGTATGTGTTATAGACTATCGAAAAATAACTATTTTCTCTTAAGATATAACGAAGCTTTTTTAACAATAAATTAAGTGCGATGTGAAATAAAGCAGTTATATTAGAAAATAATATAAATGTATATTTTCCTTGATGCTTCAATAAATTTTATAACATGCATGTTTTGTGCGTGTTTGTGCGCGCGCGCACGCCTGTATGCATATATATGTTTATATATGTGTCTTTATATATATGGCTAAATAAAGAAAACTAACAATTTTATTTTCCATTTTCCATGAGATGACAATAAATTGTTTATTTATTTGCTCAATAGCAAAATTATTTTATTTCATTTTATCATTTTTATTTGTGCAATAAAATATTTTGCAATAATACATTTTTTCTTATAAAACTATTTTCTGCACGAACGACTTTGACGCTTACACAGGTACAAAAGAAAAAATAATTATCAGAGATCTTCATATTTTTCACATACTTCATGACATTTATCGTGGATTGGATTTTACGAATGAATAAAAAGAATACATGCTTAGGCTCTATCATTATCGAATAAGTAAAATGCACAAATTTAGAAACGATGAGATTTTAACTTTTTGTACATATCAAAAATCATTGTCGCATATATTAATACAATAATAATTAATGATCCTCGACATTGATGCAATACGTATTATTTATGTTCCTAAAGGAATTCATAATGAATTAATATTATCGCGTGTAAAAGTGAAAGTTCATTCACAATTTATTTGTATTAAGAAACAAACCTAGGAATACAAGAACACACAAAGAGTTGTGCAGTGCACAGTACGTAAATTCTCTAATAAAATTTTTGACTTCGTACCTTTAATTCATTTTAGATGAAAGAAAAAATTGGAATGAATGATGAAGATATTCTCCATAATATGTTTCCTACGACATAGACTGAGTACATTTAACTATACATATGATTTGAATATTTCTTTAGTCGCCATGGTATTATACTTCCCAGATTTGCAATGGAATCGATTGTGCTAAAATAATCTCTCTCTGTCTCGGGTGTTCCAAAAGC